CCCAATTTCAAATCATTCCAAACATTCAGTGCCCAATCAGAAGGTCTTCAACTTCTATATCAAAGCATAGTCCATATCTAGCTGATTCTTTTTCGAGAAAAGTTTGCTCAAATTTCGAAAAACCGTGAAAGTGATTTCAGTTCAGTTCTACGTTGCCTCAACAAATAGCACTCTCCTTTCAGAAGCAACACAGGTCGTACAAATGAGATGGCAAATTGAATTTAGAACAGGAGAGGAGGACTCACTCTTCACCACTACGACGACTAAGCGATCGATTTCGGGAGACCGAACCGCCAGCCCTCTTCGCCGCTGAGCCCGAGCGCGAGGGTGATGATGACGATGAACGTGTGGAGGAGTGTCGACGTGAACGTTTTTTGGTGGTGGATGAGGAAGAAGAGGAGCGTCTACGTCGGTAGGCTGTAAAACGTCGTTCCCTCGCAGTCGAAGACCTCGACTGTGCTGATGAAGAACTGCGGCGGTGGTTAGTAAAAAAATTTTCAAAGAGCTATTTTGACCAGTGCGTGGTTGGTGTGTGAATGAGAATAGCAACCAGAAGGTTGGTGAGTTAAAACGACCTTCTGTTGCACAGACATTTAACCGCATAGAGACTTTGATCTTCATCGATTCACCCAATATCGCCTAGTCTTGGTTTCCCGCTCAGCCGTTCAGGAATGAATTGAGAACTCAAATACATGCACATTATAAAGAATGAATTTCCAGAAGCGCAACGACTTCAAAAAAAACAACACCCAACCTGATAGAACCAGTTACATTCGGTTTCATCCGAACACTGTCTGCTGTCTTTTTGTTATGAGCAGCAGCGGCTGAGGCGTCTTTGAACAATGAGGATACGACAGAAGCGGCTACTTTCGAGGCAGCATCGCTCGGACGTCCGGCAGCCATTCCCGGAAGGTGGGATAGGGGGAAATCCCTCCGCTCGGTTAAATCATCATCCTCGTCCTCATTACCGAAGGTGGTGATGTACTCCACTTTTGAACGTTTAGCACTCCGGTTTCGGTGACTGTGACGACCTCGACGACTGCTGCCACTACTGGAGCCACGGGAGCCCTACAAATGGCAAATTCCTTTGGGTTCCCTACTTCTTACGCATGGTCAAAAAGCTTAAGGAGACTACAATGGTGGCACAGGTAAGTAATGTTCATCAAGACGATGAAAACCAAACTCGACTTCCCCAAACCAGTTGGCAATGAAAAGGGACTAAGTTCAATCGATTGTAACCTAACGGTAAAAGGGTTTTTGCCTAAGAACTTCATGAGAAAATGTTGAATCATGAGCAATTTGAAGGATATATCCATCCCTATGTCGTGAAAAGCTGAGAGCAACTCAGACAGGCGCCTCTCGGTTATCAAGGTGGCAATAAAGCAGAGTAGGAATGAATGCCAAATCCAGACCCACAAAGCCGATATATGTTACTCTACAGAGCTCTTTCGCAAAATTAACAATTTTCAAAGGTGATGCCCAAAAGACATGCTAAATGTCGAATTCCACGTATCTTTGAGTAAATCACTCCATTATAATCTATGCTCCCATCCCCTAATTTGGCCTACACACAGGTGACGTGAAGTGCTGGTGCGTGAACATAAGCTACCGGTACCACAGTTCCTCTGAATGTCAAGACTAGACACACTTTCAAAACGACATAGCTTATTGGGTCTGCAGACATTGCTCGAGTGCTACAGTAGTAATGCGGCCACTCACTTCTGAACTAGACGACCGCGACTTCGATCGACTGCTGCGTTGCCATCTGCGCGGACGGTCACGAAAGCGCCTGCGACGCTTCTTGGGATCACAGAAGGCCACAAGGGTGAGCCCACCGATAAGAACGGCAGGTCGTTTAGATTCGAACAGCGCAGGTTTGGTGCGTGCCAACTGAGCAGCCGTCTTCCCGGAGGTGAAATTGCGACTCCTACCGCCACGATCCTCATCTTCTGACGAGGGAGATCCATAGCTCTCCGAGTCTGACGAGGCTCCTGAGAGGTAAACCTTGCGGCTGAAGCAAGAATAAAGCGCGTATTCTAATCGAGTTACTTCACTTTCAAAGACAGTTATCTTGGCTCAAAATTACGGCCATTCCACAAAAAAACAGTTTGGTCTCGATCAAGTTTGAGCAGAGTTAGCAAGAGGTCTCAAATACAGATTTAGTCGAACAATGGTTATGGAAAACAATTCCTTCTCTAAGGTGCACTGCCGAAACGAGTCCTGGAAAAAGTGCATCAAACCAAGACCCTACAAACAACACCCACATTTAAGATTCAACCATCAATTCCGTAAAAGTGAACAAAAATT